AACTAAAAGTACTTACAGTACAAGGTAGTCACATAGGAAAGTGCTACATAGAACATAGACAGGAACACGATTCTGGCGTACTCGGAGCTCTATGACTTTGGCTCTAGTTTTAGCCAATACTTGCAGCAGGGTCTCATGGTCTCTCTCAGATCTCTCACGAGCATTTTCAAGGAGATTGGTGCTGATGGTATGCATTCCTGCATTAGCATCAACCTCTGTGATACGATGGAGAGTTGTCCTGCCCTGGATCTCATTTCTGGCAACTCTAAGGACCAAGATTGGCAGAACTCTACCTGCTGAGTTTCCTTTGCTTATGTTGTAGAAACTTCGGTCTCCGTTAAACGGCATAGATTGATCTTGATCTTCACTCCATGTTTCCAAGCATTCTACCTAAGGAGGCGTCTGGCCATGAAAAGTCGGACGAGGGTTAGGATTTGGAATAGGAGCTACTGGGGATAGGTTCTCCACTTCGGGTTTGGAGTTAGCATCATCCGAAAGATCTTCAGCATGATGATCATTCAAAGAAATTGGATGATCATTCTCGGGTTCTTCTCCAAACCATCCAACATTGCCTTCGTTCGGAAGGTACGGGTTGCCATGGGGATGGAGTCCAGCCGTGTTATCTACGTGATAATTGGGGTAAGGAAATCATTATTAGACGAACTATCTAGATAATTATTAGATAATCTTCATTAGTTACATCACTATTTGTAAAGTGAATACTAGTTATATGTAATCAAATAGGATAGGCCTTCGAATAAATGACCTTAACTCCAAATTCACAAGGAACAGGTGTAAAGAAAAATTTCACAGATTCCAAGTCTGTATCATCCTAGTTACATATAACCTTAGTGTATCCACTTAGTAGCTATTGACCTAGTAATGACGATCTTTTTAGTTCTCAAGTAAGTAATTATAGTAACCCAAAATACTCCCATAGTATTTTAGACTTATGTTATGTTCTAGTGATCTCATTGTGGTAGTGTATGTAAGTTTTTAGACTTGTTGCTACATCACAACCAATCCATGGCATGTGCTAATCACTGCTCGAACCAACATAGGTGATCAGGCTATACCACTCCCAAGACTGACCATACATCCCTGAGCTTACTTGTGATATTCAACAATTATAATACTTTTGTTCTTGTCATTGTGACACGGATTTTAGTATGAATGCAGGTATGTATACTTAGTTAAATATTTTATTATTTAAAAGTATAAACTCTTGGTCAGAGTATTTTTTTTTAATCCCATTGTATTTATAGTTAGTATATCTTTTATGGGTTGATAAACTCAATTCACTATAAACAATGCTCTAATACCAATCTGTCATACCCCAAAACCAAGAACGGCGGAAATGTTTCGGGGCGGATGACGTCACGTCAAGTATCACAACAATACAAAGTAGTAAACAAGCAACAACATCATCCATTGCATTAATAGTATAATTTTAATTGCAAGTGTGTTCTTTCATAGTATAAAATAACATAATGAATAATCAAAATAAAAGAAGAGTCTTTACTGCTCCGTCTACACAAAACCTGGTCGTCGTACATGTCTATTTGTGACCCGAGAATACAAGTTATTTTGAAAGCGAGTATCAACAATAAAGCTGGTGAATTCATAAGTATTTATTTGTCTTTGATTTGTAAAACTGTAAACTAAAGACTTGTAAATATTTGGAGAAAATGTTTGAAAACCTTAAAAAATCCCATATTACCTACTAGTATAAAAAGTAGTCTTCTACCAAGACTCGACTGTTTTGAAAGTAGCCTTCTACCAAGACCCAACTATTTTTAGAGTAGCCTTCTACCAAGACCCGACTGTTTTGAAAGTAGCCTTCTACCAAGACCCGACTGTTTTGAAAGTAGTCTTCTACTAAGACCCGACTGTTTTGAAAGTTTGACCCTCTACTTAAGTGACGGTTTTTCCTTGTACAACTATTATTATTCAAATCTAATCTACCTCATCATTTATGTGAATATGACACATAGTAAAGGTAATAATAATATATTAATTGGAATTGTATCCTTTTGTAATTGTCGTAAGTAAAGTATAAGTACTGCAATACTTGTAATAAGTGACTACTATTGTACTAGTTGCCGTAATTTAGTGTTATGGCATAATGCGATGGCTAGATCCCATACTAAATGCTCCTCTATCAAGAGATTCTGGGAACCAAACGCGACCCTTGCAATGATTGCAAATCGTGAACATCCACATTATTATGTGTAATGCCCCGGTTTTTCTCGGTACGTTTGGTTATTTTAATTTAATTATCCTTGTAACCTTGGGTTAATTTATTTAACCAATGCCTAATTTCTTATGTTATTGGACTCTTTTGATCATCTTGTAAACTCTATGGGCCTATTTGCAAAGTCCATCTAGTAAATAGTACTTAATGTGTTAATTGAGTCCTTTGGAACACACACACAAGAAAAACACTCTAAAACCTCTCTCTCTCTCTCTCTCTAAAATCCTCCTCTATCTCTTTAGGATCAAGAGTAACCAAGGGGATGTTGTTTGGAGCTTAATTCTTGTTCATTTCCAGCCTTGATTCATATTGGTATGAACCTCCTTATCATTTCTTACAACTTGATTCATAACCTTGTTCTAGTTTTATGATTTCATCTTCACTTCTTCTACTTGTTATTTGATTTGTAATTGTATGTTATACATAATCTCAAGGTCCTATCTTCGCCCCATATATGGTGGATGATGGATCTAGGGTTTTACATGTGGCAAAAGATCATGGAAACCCTAAAAGGGAGAATGGTGATTTTCTTTGCTTTATATTCACTTTCATGTAGATTGTTATTACAATATTGTGGCAAAATGAAATCCTAATGATACCTAACCCTTTTTAGTACCACCATGATCATGGGGACTAAATTGGGATGAAGAACACATCTTAAAATGTGTTTCAAAGGGAGAAGAATGGATAAGCCAAAAAGGAATCACGGGTGGCTACGATTCTGTTTTCCATCAGATCTATAGTCATTTTGTAAAACTCATATCTTGAGCTCTAGAACTCAAACGGACCCCAAACCAGTTCCAAAAGTTCAAAATTTTAATTGGATAACTTTCTTAAGAAGGACAATCTCACTTATAAGGACTTTATCTATGGGAAAGAATGGCATCTTTGCTGTTAGGTCTGATCCGGGTCTGTTCTGATATGTCATTTTGTTTTCATCATTTCTAAGGCTTGGAAAACGATCCAGAGTGATTCCAAGTTTCTATATGTTCCTTATGTTATGAGTTTTATGATCTGGAGAAGATGGGGTGTTATTTCCAATTATAAACTGGCTAGAATGGATCCACACTCCAGATCAGTGGGCAGTCACCAGCTTTTGCTAGTGTTGTGATTGTCCACAATGTGAATTTTATATCTTGAGTTTGGGAGATTCTATTCATTCAATTCCAACTCTGAGACTTTCATTTGTATGTGATTTACTTTTATTAATTTTGTTTAGGACTAATTATACTCACAAGTTAGGTAGAATTGGCCAACATCGCTTGACTGTATTGTTGGAGACAGAAGTGATACACCATTTTGTAAAATTCATATTTAATTCATCTTTTGGAGTTAGAATGAGTTCTTTATAGTTGTGGAATCCTGAGCAATCATAGTTTCCTATAAAATTTAGTTAAAGCTATGTTTCTGTTTTAGATTTTGGAGTAAATCCATTTTAAACAGCAGGTCTGTTTTAGAAACCTTGCTGTGATTACTCTTTTCTCAACTCATAGCTTCATTGCTTCTCCTTTCTAACCTTTAGTCCTTCTTAGGTGGGGTTTTGAAGTTTTCTCAAGCTTGGTAGCATTATTTGATTCTTAGCTATCCTTACTACTCACTCAAGGTGAGTTCTCTCACACCGTTGTATTGATGATTGTGTTTGCTAGTTAGCTCGTGTGTGATTATTTGAATTTATTATAAAAGCATGCTATATAAGTATTATTTTAATTCGTACATGTGCACTGTATGTAACTAATCATGGATATGGGAACACTACCAAAGGATATGGATTTACCGGTGCGGTGGGTAGGTAAGATCACCAACATAATACTCATCGTGTGGTGCGGTGATTAGGGCCAAGTGATACGGGATCTTCCCGATGCGGCTCAAACCTACAAGTCCTTCTTGTATTGCTGGCGTTGATTCGTTCTTTGCCCTTATTGTTAAAACTATAATTGGAAAATGGATTAGGGTTAGTAAATATGAAGGTTAGTACAATGTCTGTGTTTGAATTCACTAAGCTTTGTGCTTACGGTTTCCCTTATAACTTTTCAGGTGTTAAGATTAAAGATTCTAAGGCATGACATGGAGCACCGGGACATCACTACTAGTTATTTTTATTGGGACCTCATTATTATTACCTCCGCACTTATTTTATAAGATTATTAAGTAGATGGATTATGTTATGACTATTTCAGTTGTTTTAATTTAATGTAAGATGGGTTTTAAAAGTTTAAAATTTTTGCAAAAATTTGGGTGTCACAAGTTGGTATCAGATCCACAATTTGAGGGAACTAGGCATCCTTGTGGATGTTCTAGACTCAAATTTGAGGCTCTATAAGAGTTTATTTTCTTTTTAAAAGATTTTTCAAAACTTTCTGAAGACTAGTAGTGAAAGATGTCGCGGTGTGTCAGTCGGCCAGCCAAGTAAGCCTTATTTCTTATGTTAAATATTTATGTTAAATTGTTGACTATAAATTGGATTCTACAAGTCTTAAAATGTTAGATTACACACTTATTTAATGTTAACATGTGAGAGAGTTGTACAACTAACGGCTAGAGCGAGCTGGAAATTTTGAAACTAGACGCGAATGCGAAATTGGAACTTGTGTGGAAGGTAATTGAAGGGCCGCTACTATTTGAAACATCGGTGCCGGTTTCGGGTCGGGGTAAGGTTGAGAAATTTTCGGCAAGCTGAGTGTTTCGTCTTCCTAGAAATATCTAGGCTGAATTATTTCTAAATATTTTCCTGCTTCTACGGATACAGATGGCTCCTCCTGCTCGCGTTAATCAGCTCCAAATGGAGCAAGTTAGGAATATTGTGGTTGAGGAATTCAATAACGCTTTCAACCAACTAATCCCAGGCGTGTCCAATGACATAATCAACCAGGTCAAAGCTCTTCTAGATGAGCGCCTCGCAGCTATTCCCGGGGGAGCGTTACCGGCTCCACCCATTCGGGATTCGGCATACTACTTCGAGAAGTTCAGCAAGTGTAGCCCTCCTCTTTGGAACGATGAATTTGACCCAGTTGCTGCTAAGCATTGGGTGTCAGATGTTGAGGGCGCCTTCATGACTGTTGGGTGTCCGGACCAGTACAAAGTTGTGATCGCCATGAATCAGTTGCGAAAAAGGGGAAAGACATGGTGGAACACCATCACCGCTCTATTAAACGAAGAAGTGAGGGCCATGTGTTGGGCCCAATTTGTGGAGAGGTTCGAGGCACAATATGTGCCTAAGGTGGGGCAGCAGCGGATGCAGCAAGAGTTCATGGCCTTACAGCAAACTACCGAGTCTGTTAGCGACCTGAATGCCAAGTTCTTGGAGATGCTATCTTTTTGTCCCTCGTTTGCTGGGAATGAGGCCTGGTTGGTCAGCCAATACACTACCATTCTACGTATCGAGATTTGGGAATTCGTTAGCATGCAGGAGTTCCCGACTTTACCCGCGATCATGGATGCAGTGAGGAGGAGGGAAATCGAGTTGCAGACCCAGTCCAAGAGGAAGGCCAATGACACCTCCTCCAAGACATCCGGAGATGCCTAGAAAAAGAAAAAACAGGGTGGTAAGTCATGGTATGAGTACAGGTCGTCTTCAGGTCAGGGCGAGAAAAATCCGTTGATATGCTACAACTGCAAAAAGCCAGGGCGTCATTGGAAGAATTGTAGGGCTCCCTTGGCGAGTGTAGTTCCTCAGATTACTTCTGCTGCTCCCATCTGCTATCACTCCAATGAGACGGGACACAAGAGGCCCGAATGCCCGAAGTTGAAGGCTGGTAAAGGAGGCGAGGGTACAAATCCTACAATTGCATCATCTTCTAAGGGACCCACTATGGTGACACGAGTTCGTGCTCACCAGATGACTACGGATGAGCCGGTGATTACCGCGACAGTGGCAGGTAAATTTCTTTTTTTTCTTTTCTCTCCTGTCATTATTTAATAATTGGTAGTTAGAATTGTTTACCTGATTGTATGTGGTAAATCAGGCACTTATTTGCTAGATTCCGAGCCCGCTGTTGTTATGTTTGATAGCGGTGCTACCCATTCTTTTGTATCTTGCACTTTTATTAATCGATTGGGGTGTAGTATCGGAAAATTGGCTCGCCCAATGGTTGTCGAAGTTGCCGACAACCGCACTATTTATGTCACCGATGTTTATCGGGGTTGCACTCTCGAATTTTCTGGAGGTGAATTCCTTATTGATCTTATCCCTATTGCGATGCGAGAACTCTGTGTTATCGTAGGCATTGATTGGCTTGATGCATTTGATGCGGAAATCCACTGTCGTAAGAAGCAAGTTCGTGTTCAAAACCCTAGAGGTGGAGAACTTATTATTCAGGGGAACATTCCCCGCCTGGCTATGGCTTCTTGCTCTTCTGCTATAGCACTAGACGACGTTCCTAGCGTTTCTGACTTCAACGATGTCTTTCCAGAGGAACTCCCTGGCTTGCCACCTATTCGGCAAGTGGAGTTTCGCATTGAGTTGGTGCCAGGTGCGACTCCGGTAGCAAAATCTCCTTACCGCTTGGCACCACCTGAAATGAAAGAGCTTCAAGGTCAACTTCAAGAACTAAGTGATAAAGGGTTTATACGGTCAAGCTGCTCGCCTTGGGGTGCTCCTATTCTCTTTGTGAAGAAGAAAGATGGATCCCAGCGAATGTGTATTGATTCTAGGGAGCTAAACAAGCGCATGATAAAGAATAGGTACTCGTTGCCATGTATTGATGATCTTTTCGATCAGCTTCAGGGAGCATCTTGGTTTTCGAAGATTGATTTACGTTTTGGTTACCATCAGATGCGGGTTCGTGAAGAACACTACTAGAAAAAAGACCTTTAATGACGCGCAAACAATGACACTCGCTGATAGAGGACGCGCATTTGTGGGTGCCCTAAAAATAATGTTATCTCTCTTAAAATTTAAAGGATTTAAAACACGCATTTTTGCGTGCCCTGGAATTAGTGTCTAAAAAAAACACGGAGGGCACCTATAATAAAACGTGTGTCGTTTAAGGGTGTCGCTTTATAAATTTTAATAGCAGCGCGTTCCATCAGGAGGGAAAAATCAAATCCCAATTACTTAAAAACCCCGCCTCCCCTTCTTAGGGCTTTTTTCAAGAACTTTCCCCGCCTTCCTCTACTGCACGTTCTTTCTTCTACATCTCCACCGCCCGATCACTCTATCTTTCCCTTCTCTTTGCAAATCCTAAGTTGGCGCCTTCACCATCGAACCCAAGGATCTGAGAGTCTGGAGTACGATTGATGATATCCAATCACCGGCGACTCTATAATAATTCTTTCTCATACTCGAACCCTAGATCTCGCCTCCTTCCATTCTACATCTCTATGGCGACCACGACTTAACAGAAACTCCACCATTCCACATCTCATACTCGAACCCTAGATCTCGCCTCCTTCCGTTCCTATATCCTTTTGGCACTTACCGATTCTTGTCCCTTCCCCGAGACAAACGTCGGTCACCTAAACTCAAATCCTCTAAGGATACCTGCTCCACCATTTTATTTAAGGTGATTTCATTTTCGAGATTTGATTATGTGAGCCCTAATTTGTATTCAGTTTTTATTTTTCTATCAAGATCACATGGTTTGATTTGTGTAAGAGTTTTTTCTGATTTGGGTGGTTTGTCTTTCCAAATTTTTGTTAAAAGTCATTTTATTTTTTAAATATACAATCAAGTACTTTCCCATAAGATTTTGAATACGCAAGTTCTTCCAATCGCTTCTTGTTGTTATCGGAAGTTCAATCAAATATGTATATATCGCAAGTTCTTCCAATCGCTGCTTGCGCACGTTTTTATGAAAATAAATGAGAGTGAAGCACTTTTTCCTCTTTAAATCAGCAGAGCACGATTCCTTCTGTTTCACCTGTTCGACACTTCCCTACGCTGCCACTTCTCTCCTCCTCACTGCGACCACAAGAGCATCATCTCGTCTTCCCAATCACGCCTTCCTCATTGTAAATTTAGTTAAGAAGGTACAAGATTTCCTCAAGTAATTGATCAATCTCTTCATCTCTTCTTCAATCCAATTTTCTGTGGATTTTTTTGTTATGGTTTTGTAGTTCTTCATTCGGCCTTCATCTAGTGTTTTTTTAATTCGCTTCCAAATCTTCATTGTTTCTCATTATCTGATATGAATCCTCCTTTCCTTTCTTTCTATTTCTTTGTTGATGATTCCATTTGTGGTTTGTAAGTGCACATAATGTGTTCGATGTATTGCCTCATTGACATTCCTTATGGTTTTTGACTTAAATTTCTGTTCTGATCCTTACCTGTCGGTTTATATCTCGATTTGCAGCGGACCAACTTTTGGAGATGCAGAAATAGACAGAGCATCATTGAAGATTGGAGAAAAGATTGCATCTGGATCATGTGGTGATTTGTACGTGTACACTGTTTGTTTCCAATTGCATTCCTAATTCTTACAAGTATCTTAATATCAGTTATTTTGTTTGTTGAAAGATTCCATGGAGAGTACCTTGGTGAGCATGTTGCTGTCAAGATTCTTAGATATGAACATTTAAATGATGAAACATTGGGGAATGAATTCTCTCATAAAGTAGTAGATCCAGGCTTTATTTATTTATTTATTTATTTGCATTTAAACATAACTAATATAAGGAAGGGTAAAGGGTGTACCATGAAGCCTCATCTCTCTGTTTGAGTCTTGTCTCCATTTACATGTTAGGAAGCTGTTAATGGTAGAAAATGAAACATAATTAAATTTTATTTATAATTTTTTTTATTGTTTTATGACAGGTGTGAGTGTGAAGAAGGATGTGATCGTGACAATCTCTTCTTGTGCATGGGTTTGCTATGAATCAGATGGTGAAATTGAGGCTCTACGTGAATGGCTGGAAGATGATGATGCAAAAGAGAAACAACTGAAAGAAAACATTAAAAAATGGCAAAGGAACAAATCCAATGATTTAAATGATGATCACATTGTGGGTCAAGTTGCACTTCAGTGCAGGTCATCGGTTCATTCCACAAATGTAAGGGCAGAAATGGAATAGAAATTTGGGGAAATATTCCGGTGTGAGTGTTTGGAATTAGTGGGACCTACTTGAAACCATTGTTTTTCATGCCACTACACATTTTCAACTAATTAGCAACTCATCAGTGTGAGACTGAGGGTATAATTGGAAAAAAACCGTGTGAAGTTCATGGGGGTATAATCGGAAATAACTGCTTGTCTTTACCAAAATTAACTGGGAAAGCTTATGAAATTCTTCAGTTTCTTAAAATAATTTTTGTGGATATTAAAGCTGATCTTCCGGATGAATCTTTTAGACCTTTAAGAAAAGACCCCTTCAGGCTACGGATTTGGCATGCGTTTCTAAAATCAGCGAAATAAATTAATGAGGTAAGCTTGTTAAAATTATCGTTTTGCCCTTGTTTTAACTTTTTCAATGACTTTTTAGAGTAAAATACAATTTTGGCCCGTGAGTTGCACACCTTTTTATCAGTTTTAGTCCCCTGAGTTGCACACCTTTTTATCAATTTTAGGGTAAGCATTTATTTTTTACATCTACAACTCTAGTTTGCCCAAATAGATTATGTATGCAATATATGGTAATAATGTTTGGAACATTACATATTTACATTTAGGTTTACAATATCCAAGGATGACACAGTTATTCTTGATGGGGTTGGCGACAAAAAAGGAATTGAAGAAAGATGTGAACAGGTATTACAGTAGCTTTTTAACAATATATTTAATTTATGTACCTGAGCTTCCTAACATGTACTATTTTGTGTTTCTACAGTTGAGATCATCAATTAAATTGAGCACTTCTGATTATGATAAGGAGAAGCTCCAAGAGAGATTAGCAAAAAATTCTGGTGGTGTTGCCGTTTTGAGGGGACGATTCTTATTTTTGTTTTATTTCTAAATAATTTTTTATGTAAATGATGTGTTGCTGTGATTGGTCAGATTGGCGGAGCGAGTGAAGCTGAAGTTGGTGAGAAGAAGGATAGAGTTACTGATGCTCTAAATGCTACAAAGACTGCAGTTGAAGAAGGAATTGTGCCAGGTAGATTAAATCATGTCCACACATGCTATTTACTAAGTATTTATTTTTAATTGTGATAATGATATCAAAAAATATACAATATAATATAGGTGGTGGTGTTGCTCTTCTATATGCTTCAAAGGAGCTTGATAATCTTATTACAGCTAATTTTGATCAGAAGATTGGTGTTCAAATAATTCAAAATGCTCTCAAGGTAATTCCCCCATCTTCCTAATAAAAAGCAGCTAGCAGTGTAGTTTTATTGTATATCTATTTTTGTTGCTGATATTTTATTGTTTATTGATTTTGTATGTGAAGGCACCGGTACACAGTAGCTGCGAATGCAGGAGTAGAGGGTGATGTTGTTGTTGGGAAACTATTGGAGCAAGATAACCCCGACCTTGGATATGATGCTGCTAAAGGTTCTCTTTTTCTGTCTCTTTGTTAAAAATATAAAATTTTCTTTTTGTTACAGTCAGTAATCATGATCAGTTGCAAGTCACAAGTGGATGAGCTGAGAACTGTAAAGGACTACTGGAATTTACTTGTGTACACTAACTTTAGAGGCTATAGTCCAAAGACATGGGATTCTATGTGATGCTGGAATCCTGATTGCATGAATTCATGGGATTCAATCTCATTGAGTTTCTACTATTGAGTATATGTGGGAGTGAAAAGCAAGGGGCAGTTTTGGTATTTATGATTAAGTGGGATGACATAAGTTATTAGAAGGAAAAGTCATTTTCCTTTTTGTTTTTAAACAATTTCTTTATAAATAATAACTCGCTTTTGTTGACATCAGCATAATGAAAATTCATTCTTGCTGAAAAACGTGGCGGATGGTCAGGTGCTTTTACACTCGGTAAGTTTGTTTTTCTAAATTCTTATAGTTTTTTTTAATCTGAATTTGTTTTTTTAATGCTATAGAACTCGGTTAATTCCCGGGCTTTGAGAATTCCATTCCCGTGGTTGGTCTTTAATGAGAAGATCAAAGCGAACTCTATTTTTCTCCTGGATACGACTGTTGTTTCCGATTCCGTCATGCTACTGTTTGGTAGAAGCATCTCAAAAGGCGATATAGAGAGTCTATTACCTTTTCTTACTCCATTCCTTTTTGATTCCATTCCATTTCATGATATGAAACAGGATGGGCACTTGAAAATGTTGGGAGGATACAAATAATTTAAATCTCTTACCTCTTATCATGCTTGTTCTCCTCATATCAAAAGTAAGTTTTTTCTTTTATTTTGCTTACAAGTTACAATTAGAATTACATTGATGAGTACAACAAGTTTTAGTTTTGAGTTTTGAGTTTTGACCATTTACCTTCCTTAGGCTGTTGGTGAAAGTTGACAGGTTTGTAACTTTGTCACTTCACTCGTGTGGTGAAATTTGCTGATGTAGCCGCTATTATGAGGACTAACAATCACAATGGCTTCCCTATATGTCTGTCATTTTCCATTTCCTCTTCCCTTAAAGAAAAAAAAGTTAGAAGTTACATCTCTACAATAACAACACATGACATTTAGGTTGTAGATCAGTCACGAAGTGGAGAAACAATGGTAATAGGTCTTATCTTGCGCATGTATAATTATAAACAATAAAATCTTAAACCCTAAACAGTTATTTTGTTAGCAGTAGCAGGCAGGCTTAAGAAGTTTATATGTTTGTGATACAATCACTTATTGGTACTTCTACAGTCGAAAGTAGATTTTCAGCATAGCCCATCAAGTAGGTAGATAAGTACTTCATTGGGCATTCTAATCTTTTAGGCTGAGAGGGCATTATTTCATTTATAAGACTTTTGCATAGATAGACAGTTAATATGAACCTGATGGATGTCTGATTTGCAATTTGCAGGCACAGTCTTAGCGACTTTGTGAAGCCTATTTCTAGTAAAGGACTATCCATATCTGATATCCATCTAACTCCAGATGATTTGGAAGCTTTGGAGGAAACGAGACTCAAGAAAAAGTAAACACATAGAGAGTTGTTGGCACATAGTAAGCTAGATGATGCAATTGTATATAAATGAGTTCATTTTTTTTATAACATTTACTCACTTTTGGAATAATTATTTGTATGACATATTAGTGAAATGAATTATCTTTGTTATTTATGGTATTTTATTTTGTATTGTGAGAATTTTAATGTATTATTTAATTTAAAAATTAGTAAATCTATAAATAATACTTTTTTTAAACATTTAAAATTATGATACGCAAAAATGTGTGTCATCTTCATTTATGACATGGCCTTTCTTGACCAGGGCTTTCTTGATACGCATTGCGTGTCATTAACACGCGCGTCGTAAGGTTATGACACGCCAATGTGTGTCGTCTTCCATTATGACAGGGCCTTCCTTGATACGCATTGGGTGTCGTAAATGCGCGTCGTAATTGCGCGTCGTAAATGAGCGTCGTAAATGTGCGTCGTCTATAGACGACGCACAAAAGCGCATCGTCTCTCTTTATGACAGGGCCTTCCTTGACGCGCATTTGCGCGTCGTCTGAGCCTTTTATGACGCGCAATGAGCGTCGTAAAAGGATGTTTTTCTAGTAGTGGAAGACATTGAGAAAACAGCATTCTGTACTCGATATGGGCACTTTGAATTCGTGGTGATGCCTTTTGGGCTCACCAATGCACCCGCAGCGTTTATGGATCTCATGAACTGCGTGTGTAGCCTGATGCTTGACCATTTGGTCATAGTGTTCATAGATGATATCTTAGTCTATTCTAAGACCAAAGAGGAGCATCAACAACACCTTCGAGAGATTCTGGAAACTCTGGCAAGAGAAAGGCTTTATGCTAAATTCTCAAAATGTGAATTTTGGTTGGAAGAAGTTCAGTTATTGGGGCATGTGGTAAACAAACATGGTATTAAGGTCGATCAAGCCAAGGTTGATGCAATTAAACAACGGAAGATTCCAAAAACACCTTCTGAAATTCGCAGTTTCTTGGGTTTAGCCGGTTATTACCGGAGGTTCATTGAAAATTTCTCTAAAATCGCCTTACCACTCACCCGATTGACCAAGAAATCAATGAATTTCGTTTGGGGCCCGGAGCAGCAGCTGGCGTTAGATGAGTTAAGGAAGCGATTGTGTGATGCTCCGATTTTGGCCTTACCTGATGGGGTTGAGGATATGGTGGTTTACTGTGATGCATCGCTTCAGGGTCTTGGTGTCGTGTTAATGCAACGAGATAGGGTGATAGCCTATGCCTCCCGACAGCTGAAACCCCACGAACGAAACTACCCCACTCATGATTTGGAGCTTCGGGCTGTTGTTTTCGCTGTTAAGATTTGGAGACACTATCTCTATGGAGTGAAGTTTATCATATACACTGACCATAAGAGTCTGAAATATTTGTTCGAGCAGTGGGATTTGAACATGAGGCAGATCCGATGGTTGGATGTGGTAAAAGATTATGATTGTGAAATTCACCACCACCCCGGTAAAGCTAATGTGGTAGCTGATGCTCTCAATCGTAAACAATCTGCCGAACTGATTCGAGCTAAGTGTCTCCGGATCACGATGTTGTCGTCTTTGTTAGGTCTAATCCGGGACGCCCAAAAGACGACAATATTGGAGGAAAACATCAGGCATGAGAAGATTGGGAAAGAGTTGCCTAAGATGGAATGAGACGGGCTGGGTTTGCTGACTCGCTATGATAGGGGTTGGGTTCTATATACCGGGGGAAATCGGAAAACCCTAATGGATGAGTCTCATAAGTCAAAATTTTCTATCCATCCTGGTGCTACTAAAATGTACCGGGACCTCCATGAGGCTTACTGGTGGCATGGAATGAAGAATGATGTGGCTCGATTTGTGGAAGAATGTATGACCTGTCGGAAGGTCAAGGCGGAACACCAGAAACCACATGGGAAGTTGCAACCATTGGAGATTCCTGAATGGAAATGGGAGCATCTAACCATGGACTTCATTACAAAACTTCCTAGAACTACCCGAGGATCCGATACGATATGGGTGATTGTTGATCGTTTGACTAAGAGTGCTCACTTTCTGGCTATAAAGGAGAGCTCATCAGCGGAGAAATTAGTCGAGATCTTTGTTCGGGAGATTTTCTCATTACATGGGGTGCCCGTTTCTATCATCTCCGATCGAGACACCCAATTTAGCTCTCAGTTCTAGAGGAAGTTTCAAGAGGAATTGGGCACACGATTACATTTTAGTACCGCCTTCCATCCACAAACAGACGGGCAGAGTGAGCGGACGATTCAGACCTTTGAGGATATGCTTAGGGCATGTGCGATTGATTTTAGGGGTAGTTGGGATCACCATCTACATGTAGCTGAGTTTTCTTATAACAGCAGCTATCACTCGAGCATTAAAATGCCTCTGTATGAAGCCTTGTATGGGAGGAAGTGCAGGACGCCTGTTTGTTGGGGCGAGGTTGGGTAGAGGGTACTTGGGAGTACCGATATTGTGCTACGGACTACAGAGAAAATCCAAGTGATTCGGGATCATTTGGTCACAGCGAGTAGTCGTCAGAAATGTTATGCCGACAAAAGACGCTCCAATCTTGAGTTCCAGGTGGGAGATTATGTGTTGCTTAAAGTCTCCCCCTGGAAAGGTGTGATTCGATTTCGGAAGGGGGGAAAGCTCGGACCCCGATTCATTGGACCCTACAAGGTCATAGCCCATGTGGGGAAGGTGGCTTACTGTTTAGAGCTTCCTGACAAGCTTAGTCTAATTCATAATACGTTCCACGTGTCTCAATTACGAAAATGCGTTGTTGATGAGACCGCTATGATACCACTGGAGGACATACAGATTGACGAGCGTCTCAATTATGTTGAGAAACCAATCGCTATTTTAGAACAAAATACGAAAGCCCTCCGCAACATGACTATAAACCTGGTTAAGGTGTAGTGGTAACATAGGAACGGTTCGGAATGGACTTAGGAACCAGAATGTGAGATGCGGGCTCATTATCCAGATCTGTTTCTAGGTGTTGACTTCAAGGACGAAGTCCATTCTTAGTGGGGGAGAGTTGTAACGCCCCGGATTTTCTTGGTACATTTGGTTATTTTAATTTAATTATCCTTGTAACCTTGGGTTAATTTATTTAACCAATGCCTAATTTCTTATGTTATTGGACTCTTTTGATCATCTTGTAAACTCCTTTTATTGAAGTCCATGGACTATGGGCCTATTTGCAAAGTCCATCTAGTATATAGTACTTAATGTGTTAATTCAGTCATTTCGAACACACACACACACACAAGAAACTGTAACAACCTGTTATTTCAAGTTAGTAAAAATCGAGTCATGTAACCTCTTTGAGAAAGGAATTAGAATATCATCGAAAAATGAAGTATTCAAAAACTCTAATTGGAGTACACTATGTGGTAGTTATTGTCTTAAGGTATCCGAACATATAAATAACACAAAAATCCGAGTTATAACGAAGAAGTTATGATCATTCTAAGTTTTACGACAAAAACCAGCAATACGAAGTTGCGTAAAACCGCAAAGTTTCAATAAAACACTTTCCGACCTTAGGTGTCTAAATGAAAGTCGTAGATATCGTTAAACTACAAACATGCATAAAAAAGAATGCTCAAATCGGACATCGTACGAATAAGTTATGAATTTTTAAAGAAATTCCTTAATCACGTCATTTTAATAAATAAATAATAAAAATAATTCTGGAATTTGCCAACAGAATCTAAATGAAAGTTGTAGATCGTAGTCTCACCTTCGCGGGGATATACAGAACGTCAAAAACGGAGTTCGTATGAAGGAGATATGAATTTTCGAAGTTTGATAAATAATTTATATATATTCTTTATTAAAACTTCGGTATTATCCGAAGGGGAGTTAGCTTCCTCATCCGAGGTACGCGCTGCATACTCCTGTACGCCCCGCGTACCCGAGGAACTTGGCCTCAAACCGTCCATGTCGCCCTATGCGAGGCATCCGACCCGCCCGTCCGACCCGCTGTCCCATCCGACCTGACTGCCTTAGCCGTCCCATCCGAGGACGAGGCAGTCGAGGCTTCGGTCACGCATGACGTACGCGTACGCGCTGCGTACGAGCGTACGCCCCGCGTACGAGGCCTCTCAGGCCCCCCTATAAATAGCATGCGAGGGTTCCCGAGAAAATGGCCAATTCTCTCTCCTTTTTCTTGCGTTTTACCTCGTTTTCCGTGCTCGCACT